CACATAAGGGATTTGGTCAAGATCATGACTCATTGTCAAAAGAGAAAGAGAAAAAAACACTCCCATACCCGATGTGGGTTACGACCCACGTGAACAAAGTGTGCGTATATGTGCTGGGGTTAGCCTCTGGCAGCCTTGGACTAAACCCTGGAAGCCTCAGATTAACCCGTCATTTCTAATATGATAGTTATGTCCAATATTTACAAACTATATTTATAGGTAACTGTTTGAGTCATACATTGGCAGAATTGTTGTCCTGATAATGGTTCAAGTCTAGGCACGGACCATGTCTGGAAATTGGCCTGGTAGCTGCAGAGGTGCCAGTCCACTTCCTGTCTACTGCCGAGGTGCCCTTGAGCAAGGCACCGAACCCCAAAACTGTTCTGGAGCGCTCGCTGTGGTCAGCACCCTCACGCTGAGACCTCTCCATTAATGCATGTCCATAAGATCCTGTTTGTGCATGTGTGTGTATTTCGGCCTATGTGTGTGTAGCATGTTCATTAAACAGTGTAAAAAAAAACCCATCAATTTCCCCTCGCGGGATTAATAAAGTATAAATAATAATAATAATTATTATTATTATTTCTCTCATCAGATTGTAATATAATACTCTAAAGCTATTTGCACATAATGCTTTCTTGAAAATGTTGAGATGAGGACGGCTACAGATCCGGTCGTTCACATATGCACCTCACAGCGGGAGACTATCCAAGTCGGACGGGACGGGTGGTGGGCGGGTCTTCCGAGGAAAAAGGCATGACGTAAAAAACAACAATGAGGAAGTGGCTAACGAAGCAGCATAGTCCACTACACGACAATAAAAAGAGAATACGTGCCTTTACATCGATGCTATGTGTAGTTTGACTGAATGAGAATATCGACAAAATAGCGGAGAAGAACATACTGGCAAGCAGAAAACGATGGGGGGGGGGGATTTTTAGCCTCAAAATTATAGCATAATGGTTCATTGAAATAAGCATACCGTCACAGCTCACAGAGCACACTGAGCGCAGTCAGGGGAGCATTGAAAGCTTTGTGTGTTCTCTGTGATTTAGAAAACTTCTTTCAAAAATGAAATGTGAAAAACAAGTGAAAACATCCTCTACTGCCATTAGACGCAGCAGAGCAAACACGCTGCCAACTTCACTGAAAAGCTCAGGTTGGAATTAGTGACATTCATTGTATGAATCCTGACTGCATTGTTTAGGTTACATATTGTCAGGACTCTGTGTTGTGCATGCTAACTGTTTGGAATCACTCTTTGGGATAACGCCATGGAGTTCATGTTAATGGTCACTTTCTCCCTTTAAAAGATCCAATGTTGATGAGGAGAATGTTCTGTACCTGGTCAGACAGACACTGGATGCTACTTTAATTGCTACGTGATGAATAAATCCCAAACCATCAGCAGCAGCGGGCAACAAATGACTTCCAATGTAAATGATCCACGTTTACATGGAAGTCTCCTCAGGTTCATTTTCTGTTTCCGACTGCTGTGCTCAACTCCGACTGGCAGGTGTGAGGAACCTGAGCAACGAGACGAGAGCGCGGCGGAGGAGCGGAGAGGGGTGAAGAGGGGGGGGGGGGAGCGCAGACGTAAGGAGGGAAGAGGAGAATAAAGAGGGGGAGAGAGGAGGAAAGAAGGGTAGCAGAAAGGAGGAGAGAGGAGGTGCAGGGAGTGAGATGCGGGGCGTCGGGCTGCAGTGTGTCTAGACAGTATTCATGATCCATCTGTCTGCCACTGCCACGGCAACAGCCAGCGGCTACAACAAGATGGCAAACTCCATTACCACAGAAACAATTTCAGTGTCCCTCTCCCTTCTCTCTTTCTCTCCCCTCCTCCCTTCCCTCTCTCCCTCTCTCTGTCCTTCTCCATATCTCTGTCTGGTCTTCTGTCTCACTTCCATGTCCCCCTTTTTCTCTCTCTTCTTCCCCTGAGTCCCCTGATCCCCTGGCAATCTTGGCAATCTTTCCCTTTCCCCCCCCCCCCCCACTCTTCTTTCTCCTTCTCTGCCTCCCTCCAACCATCCCTCTCTTCCTCCCTCTCTCGGTGTCTCTCAGGCATCACCAGCGTATGCCCATCAGCTCAGAAAATTACAATCATTGTGCAGCTTTCGCTTAGCGCTGGCCGCAGACACTTACATTAACATTCGCTCTAGACAGCTAAATATTTTAAGTACCCGACTCAGGATTCTCTCCATTGGAAATGAGTCCCCCCCCCACCTCCTGCCACACACACACACACACACACACACACACACACACAAACACACACACCACCCCTTTCAGAATTAAAAGAAAGGTTGTTCCTGGTGCCTTGTGGAGGAAAAGAAAAGGTAGATGGAAAGAGAAAAAAAGGGATAAATTTACAAAACAACAAAGGAGGGTTTGAGAGGTGAAGCACATTTAAGGGAGGGAGGGGTGAGAGAAAGAGATGCAGGGAAGGTAAGGAACTCGCCAGACACACACACACACACACACACACACACACACACACACACGCACACACATAGCAGAGGATGAAAGTGCTGTAAAAAGTTTCCCCTCTCCTCCTAAAAGTTGTTGAAAGAGAACGCTGCAGCACATCAAAGTGGCCTGGCAGACAGCCATTGGAGCCCATTGGTGTCCTTCAGCCTCTCCCTCTCCATATCTCTCCCCCTTCTCTCTCTCTCTCTCTCTCTCTCTCTCTCTCTCTCTCCTGCTCTCTCTCACCCTCTGTCTCCTTTTCTCTGCGTGTCTCTCTGTTTTCCATTGATCGTGACGAGTCGAGGGAACACTCTCATCTCGTTCCCTGGACAGTTCTGCTCAGCGGAAAGTTGACGGAGGTGGCTGGTAGAGAGTGGGTGTGTGTCTGTGTGTGTCTGTGTGTGTTTGGGGGGGGGGGGGGGACGCCTTAGGTTGATATGTAATGTGTAGGGACCATACCTTATGACAGAGTACAGTTTACCTCCAACAACCGCATAAGACTCTAAGCAGCTGATTACACATAATGTGATCTCCAGTATAGAGTTCTGTTGATAGATCATTTTTAACATTAATTGACATGCATATCTAATTTGATTTAAATGTCATAAGATTGCACATAATCCACTACACTGAAACAAACAAGCCGCAGGTCAGTTATCAGTCATTTCACTCATGCCTCTTGTCTGTGTTGAGTAGTTTCTGATCTGCCACATCTTGGTTTAGTTAAGATATCCACAACTAAGTAAAGGAGAGATTGTGTTGATGGTGTAAGCTTGGTAAGAGATTGTATTCAAATGCAGTCTCTGGCATCAGTCTCTTAATGTCCAGCCATCCAGACAGTGGTAGTCTGTCAGACCGTCAGCCACTTCTCTTCTGGCCTGGACAAAACTACACTCTTACCCTTATAGGTAAAAAGAACAGAACCTGAATCAGGCCTGGACGATATTTTTCTGGATGATGGATTTTGACACGCAAAAGTAAAGGAAATGAAGCTAGATACATGTAAAGGTTTTTTTATGTACAATGAAAGTCTCCAACCATACACTCTGTCAGCAGCTCTGACACAAGCATGAAGACGTAGAGAGAGGGATTACAGGTGAAGCGACACCTTATTTCATAAATATTGCAACTAAATGTGTGGCTTGCATTTGTGTTACTTAAATGTCATCATCTGTTTCAAGTGATGTACAAAGCTATGCTTAATGTATATGTCACCAGCCCTCAATGTCTGCATGTGACCGACATGACTCTACACTCTATGTGCCCTACAGGCTAAAAGGAAACATCATCCGCCCCATTAACAGCCCATGTGTGTAGCCACAAAATAAACCAGCAACGTGGATAATTTGCTGCTGATAGCGTGAATAAATCCACTCAGAAATCTGGATCAGTGTCGGCCTTGAGCATCGTGCTGGAATATCTGCAGAGCCACGTGCATGTTTACATTTTACACAGGCTGATACACACAGGAAATATTGTCTTTATTGAATGGCAGTAGTGTTAGAAAGAGGAGTAAGAGTAGGCTTGATAAGAAGTTCACAGAAAATGTTACTGCAGTGTCATATACCTGGGTTTAATTTAACCTAACAAAATGTTTGTGCTTTGGGCAACATAAATGAATAAAAGCTTGACTGAGAAACTGTTCTTCATTTCTAGTATGAATAACATGTTGAACTTTTACTGCCTTAGTCCTAGTCTTTGACACAGAGCTGCACAGTGTTTTTGCATTTGCATTTCAATCGATCATTGATGTGTTTTTCCCTTCAATGCGCTCTTACAGGGTAAGGGTCACAGTGGCCATCCGTACCGTGCCCAAACACGCTTCACCCCTAAAGTCCAGTTAGTTTGGCCAGTGTGACCGCTCCGTGCCGTGCTCAGTCACGGTACACTTCCTTGGCTTTAGCACACTTCAGAGAGGTGTGCTTCTGCACGGTACAGAGAGAGAGAGAGAGAGAGAGAGAGAGAGAGAGAGAGAGAGAGAGAGAGAGAGAGAGTCCGCCTGTTTGTCAACTGAGCACGCTTCATAAAAACATAAAGCATGCATGTGTTGTATTAAGACGTTATGTACAAGAGGCCAGTGTGGGAATGGTGCAGCGGGGGGGGCCAATCGTGCTTGAGTACAGCACGGTACGGATGGCCAGTGTGACCGCGCCCTAAGTCAACTTTGGCTACTCTTTAGCATGTTTGTCTGTTACAAAGATCCCGTTTATGGTGTTACATGTTGATGCTCAGTGAAGACTTGATTTAAAAAAATGTGGCTTCATGGGGTAAATTTGGTATTGATGGTGGAGTTCACCTACACGCCACAAAAGGTCTATCTTCAAAATGTCATCTTACTCCATGGAGAGACCGTTTGCAGTAAAACAACCCATACAACTGACCACAGGAGCTAAATGGAATCTGCTCACTGAGTTTGACAAAGTGAGGCCAGGTAGAACAGGAGAGAGAAACAGCAGAGAGAGGGAAGGAGGTGAAACTGAATCTGTTTGTATTATTTGGTGGTGTGAGGAGGAGCAGCATCCTGAAGCACTCACAGTTGAAGATGCCCGGTGGAGGGTGCTGGGTGACCACAGGGCAGTTCTCCTCATCGCTGTTGTCCCCACAGTTATTCAGCTGGTTGCAGATCAGCGAGCCCAGACGCAAACAATTCCCATTGGTGCAGTGGAACTTGCACTCTGTAGGAAACGAGAAGGAAGGGTTGGGTAGGGGGGGAGGGAAAGGGAAGACAGAGAAAAAATATTTCTCAGCTCAACTATTTCAAATCTTAAGCTCATTCAGCTGCAATCAAAGGCTTAACATTTGCATTCTGACAGCATTTTGTTTATTCAAGGACTATTTATCTCTATTGCCTTTATGGAATAATAGGACGGCTTGATCTTCAGATTTTCTTCAGTAAACATTGAAAAACGAGACAACCAACCAACTGTGAAAAAATTCAAAATACAAAAAAAAAATCACCACTTGGAAGGCCTGCATGTTTTATCTAAATGGTGTATTCGATTTATTTTTTTATTTTTTAATTTTTTTAAATACACCCACACACATTCACTGATGTCACTGCAATGGTAGTGCATGCAGGCACAGTCTAAAATGTATAAAAGCTCTGATAAACTGACAGCAAAACGCTCAAACACTGTTCTGTGGTGTTCTCCCTGTTATCTACACCTGAGAATGTGCGAGGTCAGGTGAAATGTTGTTTTTTTTTTTCTACCTGTAAGCACCAACACAAAGAAGAGTTAATGTGTAGAAATCACACAGAAACAAGGTCAGGCGAAAAGTGGTCTCCCGTTCAAAACAACAAATAAATAAACAGCTTTTCAAACGGGCCTTTGAAGTGCCGCAGCCCCAAACCGTGATGTTCTGTCACGGTTATTAGCAAAACGCTTCTCCCCCCCCCGAAATATTAAAACGCCTGATTAGCACTATCTGCTAGAGAAAAAAAAAACAAGTCCAACCTATAAATGTGAAAACAAAAATATGTAGATATTTATATTTATATATATATATTCTGCAGGGAATGAATAATCATTCTGAACTTTAATCATAATAAATGAAAATAACAACAACAAAGTGTTTGATGCACTGGAAAGCAAGGCCATGTCAGTATGCCCCGGAGTGTGATGTGTGTGGTTTAGTGCAGCCGTTTTCTGAGAGCTGCACGCACACACACACACACACACACACACACACACACACACACACACACACACACAGGCTCTGCAGACAGCAGAACTTGGAAATGGAACTTGAATGATAAACCCTCACAGGCACAATTATTATAAATTCTACACAACAGCTTAAGAAACAGCTACATTTATTTGGGTTTGTGTCAGCCCACACATTCAGTGAATTGTATGTGTTATTTTTTTATAGTTCAACTGCAATTACTACAGTTTTAAAAACAAAACATATTTAGATTGAAATTATTAATACTTCTATTATATCATATATTTTATTATAAGGTCCTTGGATATGATTCCAGGAAGCTTTTTTTGAAAGAGTGCTTTCACTAATGTAGTAAAATTGATGCAGCTGAAGCAGAAATTGTGTTTAGACTGTTTAAAACATGGACATAGTCTTAGGGACAGCTCCCATTCGATTCTGAAGACGTGTTCTGAAGCTGAACGAAGGAGGTAGTCATATTTGCAATACTATCTCCACCTAACCCTAAATTAATCTAGTAATATAGAGACGTTAACGCTGACCCAAAGCCTCCTGGCAAACAGCTGAAACGTGCCCACATGTATGTTTGACAGTCGGAGGGCCCTTTGACCAAAAGATTCAAAGTGAAGGTACATGCAGCCATCACCATTGATAATATCACCTTGGTCATTCCATCTGGATACTCATGAGCAATGGACTTCTTGTCTTGTTAGCTTACTAGTGAGACCAGTTGTGGGAGGAAAAAAAAGGACTTCAGTCGGAAGTTGAATACGTAGTCCATGGACTTTATAAAATTGATGAACAGCCTAGAAAATAACGGATCATCTTTGGAACCAAGCAGCACTGAGAGAAGATTTCATAATAAAACTCCTTAACTCTTTCTGGAGGGAGACATAATGCACTCCTGAAGATATCTAGATCATTTCAGGAGGACTGCTCTGTACATTCACCTGGCTGTTCACTTATGTTACAGCAGGAGACTATCCCTGTCAGACAGGAGGGGGGGCCGGGGGGGGGTTCCTGAGGTAAGACGCGTCTAAAAAAAGAATATGACGCAGAAGAAGTGGATGAAGTAACAGAGTCCGCTATCTGATGCTATATTGAGAATATCAACACTACTTGTAGGTCAACAGAACGACAACGTCAACAAAAGAGCAGAGAACAACATACTGGCCAACAGAAACGTTATGCAGCCGTTTAATTACGTGCATGGAGATCGTAGCGGTAGCATGCAGACACTCAGCAGTCACAGGATACTAACGTCACCACCCCTCCCGTTGACTCAAGGTGAATTCTCCGGAGAATATCCTGCTGCGTTCTCACATCAGGTCACTCGGGACGTGGGAAAAAATAAAAATCCGGATGAAGTAAAATGAATCGGTTTGCGTTCACACATACAGCTCCTCCTGGAAATATCAGGAGTTTTTCAGGAGAAGTGTGAAAGCCCTAATAGTGAGTTCTTCATATTTCAGTTGTCACATCTTCTATTCAGACAGTGGGGTGTAAACATTACCTGGTTAGAAACTCTTTAGGTGTACTGATATTCAAATATATTTAATGTAGAGCTCTTTTTCCAACCTTCACAACAACTTTCTTTCAAGAAAAGTCAGAAAGTGTCACTGTTAAGGATGTCTCTTATTTATCTCTGCCAAAAGCATTATATAGAAATTAAAAGTATAACAAATAACTGAGTGGTGGAGGCAGGTTCATATCTGTTGTTTAAATGCTGCATGTCATCTCCATGGATACAATTTCTTATTTTTATTTCTCGGCGGCAAAACCTGTTTTTCTTTGTTCTGATGATGTAAGAAATAATGAAATTCACTTAAAAAAAAAAGCTCAAGAAGCCATAAAAGATGAATACAAATTTGGTAAGTCTGACTGCAGAAACCAAGACAGACGTAACAGCGAGGCTTGTCTGAATATTTGCGAGTCAAATCAAAGCTTATAAAGAAATGTGTTTGTGCAAACTTCAATGAAAATCCAAAGACGTAACTGTGAAACTTTTATATAATACATGAGAAACAAGGCACAGAAACATATAATACAACACAATGCGCCATATTGTGGACAACAACATCATTGTTTTTGTGCCTCCCGCAACTATTTCTCTGCTGTCACACAATTAGATTTGAAGAACGAGGACAAAGGCGAGTGATGCTGCTTGAGAATAAACTTTAATCTAAATGAATGAAACACAAACATGTGGGAGTGTCTCAATAGCAGAACCTCAAACTTCCACAATAAAAACCAAATGATTGTGTTACCTGTTACAATACCACGGCAACAACGAAAAAGTCCAAGGCACCCAGTATTGGTTAACGTTTTTTATTTATTTTTAAATACCAAAAATGCTAGTCATGAAACATGTAGTTCACACAAATTAGTACTTAATTTTAGGGCCATTATTGAGGCAGACAAAACTGAACTATCCCTCTGTAATATTTAATCATGTATGTGACAAATCGCAGCCACACTAGCTGGGACTGTAGCCACGCAGCAGCTTCTGCTAATGGGCCATGCTCTGCCTGCTCTACTACCTAGATGTAAACAAGCACAGTGAACAGAAAACCTGTCGTGGGAGAATTTTGATCAACTGTAGAAAATTGAGATGAAAATGTATGTCGGCTGTGACAGGTTAAAGTGGCATATCCACCTGAGCGATGCAGAAGCACATTGAGGAAGAGCATGTGGATGTGAAGCATAAGGAAGGACCGAAGGCTAGCCGGGTTAGCACTGCTAACGTTAGCCACACTCTGCAAACCAATAACAGAGTTTACCCCCAGACAATGTTTTAAGATATTGTGTTGAATATTGATGGTTTTTGGAGTGTGGCTGCTGTGTCTCAGTTGGTAGAGTCGGTCGTCTCTCAACTGGAAGGCCGTGGGGGGGAGGGGGGTTCGATCCCCAGCTCCTGCAGCAACATGTCAGATATGTTCTCCGAGAAGACACTTAACCCCAATTTGCACCCGCTGTGTTGTCGGCAGCCTATGAGGGGGTTTAGTTACTTCTGATGGCCTCTTTACATAGCAACCAGTGCCATCAGTGTGTGAATGTGTAGGTGTGCCCTGCTGTGTAAAAGCACTTTGAGTAGTCAGAAGACTAGAAAAGTGCTGTATAAGCCCAAGTCCATTCACCATTAGACTAATCGTTAGTCTGAATTTAGATGATTGTTAAGTCATCCCTAGTAAGAACATCATTGGGATTCTTCTCCATGAATTGTTCTTGTAGAGGAGAAGGTAGAAGAAAAAAAAGAACTCTCAACAGGAAAAGAGGAAGCACACGTTTTAATCACATTAATCAGTTTGGGAGGTTGGAAGGCGTGTTCTGTTGCAGTGAATCAGCACACTATCCCAGACAGCTTGTACCTGAGCGTGCAACACAATAGAGACACACACACACACACACACACACACACACACACACACACACACCAACAAACACCTTGCAGGCCAGATATCCCAGTGTGAGTCCTTCCGATTTGCCCGGCTGGCAGTGAGCAACCTAATGACAGTGCACATTTTCTCCCTCTTCCTCCCATAACAAGAACAGCTTGTTCTACTCTTGTCTAGACGGTGATGGGGGGGTGTGGGGGTGTGTGTGTGTGTGTGGGGGGGGGCAGGAACAGAGATCCGATTCAAAGAACAGAGCAGCATGACCGTTCTTCGGAACAAACTCTCTCCCCTTCTTCTGAGTGGCAATTAGTGAAGCCTCAGTGGCTTGCCCAGCCTCTCGTCTTCTCACTCTGTGTTTCATTTTGTCCAATGTATTACTCTCATCGTCTGTCTAGACTCCTCTCCGGCCCGTCCTTTCCCGGTCCTATTACTCCCTGTTACTCGCCCGTCTTGTCTTCTTCCCCTCTCTCCATACTCTCTCTGTTGTTTTGCTCTTTTATCCATTCTTTATCTCCTCTACTGTTCTTCTTTGTCACCCTCTCCAGCAACACTCCATGCATTTATAGACAGACTTGGAGACGCAGATTACGTTGTGTCAGCTAAAGGAGTTAAAAATA